GTGGGCGGGGGGGGGGGCGGGGGGGGGGGGGGGGGGGGGGGGAGCCTGCCCACCCCCTCTGCATCTCAAACTGGGAGCGGTGCAGGGAGGCAGCAGCATGAATGGGGGCCACCGCGGAGTGCCTGGTGCCGGGAGCCCTGTGCTCCCATCGTGCTCCCCACAGAAGATATGCTCCTGGATGCTGAGCTGTTGCTTAGCCCTTCAGGTAAGGGGGGAACCACGGTGAGCAGCCAGAGAGATGGGGTGATGGGGAGAGGACTGGGATGGCAGCGCAGGGACCGCATCCTGCCAGGCAAAGGGCGCGTGGGGCTCTGGCCTGGGTGTGCTGGGAGGGGAGCGGGCAGTGATGGGTTGCTGGGGATGTATCAGTGAGCCTGCATCCACTCGGGGAGGCCGGGCGCGGGGGGCTGCAGCTCTGGGAGTTGCGACCACCCCCTCTCTTCCCCACACAGCACCTGGCCGTGCAGGCCTCCTTGCTCTGCATCTTCCACCTCCTCCTGCTGCCCACCCTGCCCGAGGAGCCGCCCCACGCCCAGGCCACCAGCGAGCTGCTAGCACGCAGCCTCTTTGCCTGCGGCATCTCCACGGTGCTGCAGACCACCCTGGGGAGCGGGTGAGCAAGGGGGACAAAGGGGATGCCGCTGTTGCCGGAGGAGGGTGATGCCGTGGCAGGGCATGCCTCTGCCTCCTCCTAGGCTGTGGGAAGACAGCCTTTGCTGGAGGTGGGAAGGGGCACGAGGACAACCCCTTGCCCTGCATCTCTGCACGCCTGTCCCTCCCTGCCATCACTCCATCTTCCTCTCTCACGCGTCCCTCTAGCAAAACTTCTGTGCTTTCCCTCTAGCTCCTCACTGCCTTGCTCCAGCATCGCACGCAGCTCCTCCAGGCCATCCTGTGCCTAAGCTGCCCGTGCCCCACGCAGGGGCTGGGTGTGTGCTTTGGCAAAGCCCCGGCCTCTGTGCACATCCCACGTGCTGCCGCTTATGATGTGCTAGGGCACGTTTGGGATATGGGGTGACCTCCTGCCGCTTTGGGGTTCTCATCTCCTCTTCCCATCCATTGCTCCTCTGGCAGCCAGGGCTTTGGGAGCAGCCCTGTCCCCTCTTTCCTCCCTAACGTGCCCTTGCTGTCCCCTTCCCTAGGCTGCCGCTGGTTCAAATCCCATCCTTCGAGTACCTGGTCCCTGCCATGGTGCTGAGCTCCCACCTGTCCCTCAGTGCCAGTACGAACAGGAACGGTGAGCACAGCCCTGGAGCCTGTGTCCCGCGGGGCTGGGGCCATGCCGGTGCCAGGGGAACGGCAGTGACGAGGCGCACGGGGTAGGGATGAGGGGTAGCAAGGGATCCTGTCTGCTGGCCCTTCTGGTGATGGTACACAGCACCCTACTCACCCCTGAGTGCACCTGCAGCGCATCTGGTCCCCTCCCCAGGGTCAGGGCTTATGGGGACAGGGATGCTGCCACACTGGCCCTTCTCCAGCCAGCAGCCTCCACACGGCATGCTCCTGGATCCAGCTCCAGAAGCCCAGCATACACACGCATCACATCCCTCTGGAATTCCCTTCCAGGCACGGCTGTGGCCAGCGCATGCCCTGCACCACACTGCACCGTCACAGGGAGCCGGGCTGCCTTGCTGCGAGAGGTGGGTGCTCCTGCGCTGGGCTGGGGGTCCCTGTCCTCCTGCTCCACCAGCACCCCACGTGTCACCTGCATCCCTGTTCCCCCAGCCCCTTTTCCAGCTCTCCTGGGGATCACCACAAATAAGGGGGGACACAAGGGCATGTGCAAAGGCAATGGAGGTCATGGTGCATATGTTCTCCTGGGCTTTGGGTGAGCAGAGCATGGCTGGAGCATGGGGGATGGGTGATGCTACTGGGGCAGTGGGAGTGTGGCCAAGGGAGGGTTGTTGGGCTGCTCTCCATGTATCCTGCCCCATGGGTGCCATCCTTTCCTCTCACAGGTCTCTGGAGCCGTGCTGGTCTCTGGGCTGATTCAGCTGGCGCTGGGAGTGTCCGGCATGTGTGGGTGGGCAGCCCAGCACTGTGGGCCCATGGTCCTGGCCCCCACCCTCTCCATCATTGGGCTGTCAGCATACAAGGAGGCTGCTTTCTTCTGCTCCACTAACTGGGGGGTAGCCCTGCTGTACGTGGGCCCGGGGGGCCACACCAGTGTGCAGCCCCTGGGGCTTCCCTTTGCCATGGGGACAGGAACGGGGCATCCCTGCAGTGCATGGCATGCATTTGGGGCCCCATCGCCGTGATGCTGCGTGGTGAACCTGTCCTTCCTCTCCTAGGCTCATGTTCCTTGCTGTCACCTTCTCCCAGCACCTGGGGTCCTGCCGCCTGCCCTTCTGTGCCTGGCCCCAGGCTCGGAGGGGCTCCACGGAGCCATCCGTCCCCACCCTGCGCACGTTCTCGGTACTGTGGTACTGTGGCTTGTCTACCTCTGCCCCCTCCACTGCGCCCTGGCTTTTCTCCAAGCCTGGCTCTTTGGTGCAGGGTTAAGTGGGACCCAGTGGGCCTGGAGCAGAGCTGGGTGCTCGGAGCAGAGGCAGGGGGAAGTCCTGGTGCAACTCCTGGGGTGTGGGTGCTGCTGGGGGAGTGCAGGGGACCTGTGCTCAAGGGTGTTGGAGCAGCAGAGCCTGGGATGCTCCCTGCAGGGGTAAGGGGAGATGTGGCATGGCTCCTTGGGAGAGGTGACAGGACAAGGGCCTATTATTTGGGGCACAGCAAGCGGGGTGCTGGCCAGCAGAGGAGAATTCCCTGCTGAGGTTCCCCTTGATGCCTTGCAGGTACTGCTCCCATTTGCTGGTGTCTGCATTGTTTGTGCCATCCTCAGCCATCTCTACATCCCCTGGGAATCGCTGGACCTGGCCATGGCACAGCTGTCCTGGGCCAACAGCACCTTCCACGCCCCTTGGCTCCGCATCCCCTACGCAGGTGAGGGACGGCAGGGCTGGGTGCAGCCATCCGCCCTCAGCGAGGGCCCCTGTCACCCATCCCCTCTCCCTCTGCTGCAGGCGAGTGGGGGTGGCCGCTGCTCACCCTCCGGGCGCTGGCAGCGGGCATCGCCATGGCTATCGGTTGCAGCATGAACTCGGTGGGCTGCTACGTGCTGTGCAGGAGGCTGCTGCGAGCCCCCCGGCTGCCCCCCCATGACTGCAACCGGGGGCTCTGCATGGAAGGGCTGGGCAGCCTCCTGGCAGGGCTGCTGGGCACCCCGGGGGGCACGGCCGCCAGCATCGCCAACACCTGCGCCACCGGCCTCACGCAGGTATGCCCAGGGTGGGGAGAGGAAGGTCGGCAAGGGATGGGGAGGGGGAGGCAATGGGACAGTAGGTGTGGGGCACCCATGGCACACGGGCTGTCCCTGAGCCAGTGCTGGAGGTGAAAGGCAGGTCTCTATGGCAGGATGGGGGTACACAGTGGGGGACTGACACTCCTCATCCTCACTTTCCCGTCCTCCTTTCTGCCAGGCTGGCTCTCGCCCCTCGGTGCAAGTAAGCGCGCTGGCGTGCGTGGTGCTGGGCATGTCCCCAAGGCTGGCAGGGCTCCTCACCCGCATCCCGCTGGCGGTTCACGGTGGGTACCCTGCCCTTCCCCTGCACTGCGGTGCCCATGGCCTGCCTGGCACTGCCTGACTCCTGCCCCTCGCAGGGGGGGTGCTCTGCGTAACCTACGCCGTGGCCGTGGGCACGGGGATCTCCTACTTCCAGTACGCAGACATCGACTCGGGGAGGAACATCTTCATCGTTGGCTTTGCCATGTTCATGGCACTGCTGGTGCCACGGTGGCTCGGCACTGCTCCAGCTCACCTGGCCACAGGTAGTGGGGACACTCCCTGGGCAAGGCAAAGTCTTGGGCCCCGTGGCATGGTGACCACGCATCTCCAATGTCCTGGGAGGCTGGGGCGGCTCACTGCAGCAGGCAGCTCCCTCTTTGGCACCTGAATCTGCTGCAGCAGCTCCTGCCCCTTCCCTGCTGCTGGGTTGGGATATCCCAGGTGATTCTGATGCTGTCCCTGCAGGCTGGGTGCCCCTGGACCTCCTCTTCCTCTCCCTGCTCATGGTGCCTGTCTTCTTAACCGGCTTCTTGTCATTTTTCCTGGAGAACACGGTCTCAGGTGAGGGGATGATGTCTGCATGAGCCCCTGCTCTGAGGGCTGGATCTGGCCAGGGGACTGTCCCCGAACCACCGGCTCTGCCTCCCGGCAGCCCTGCTGGGGGTCCTGGGCCTGGCGTGGGCCAGGAGGGTGCAGCTGGAGGAAGGGGCTCCCATCTCACTGCCCGCCGCCCTGGTTGCAGGAACCGTGGAGGAGCGAGGGCTGCTCTCTGAGCTGGCACTGCAGAAAGCCGGGGCAGGTGATCACCACCCCTGTGGAGAGAGCGGAGAAGCCAGCCATGCGTATGGGCTCCCTGCTGGGCTGAGGAGGCTGCTGCCATCTTCCTGCAAAGCCTTCCCCTGCTGCTTCCTCTGCCCAGGGAGCGAGGAGGAGGAGAAGGAGGAGGGCAGCCATGCCGCCGAGGAGGGAACTGCTGCACCAGGGGAAGGGACACACCTGCTCCCCAAACCCGGCTCAGGGGAGCTGCAGCTGGCCAGGAGGCCGAGCGAGACAGAGATGCCCGTGTGGCACACTGTGGCCTGACCCTGCGGAGCAGGGACACCTCATGGGGGTCTGGGGCTGTGCCCCCAAGGCAGCTTGCGGGCCACTTTGCTCCTCGTTTCTGAAGCCCACATGGACTGGAGGGACCTGCACTTCCACACTCCCAGCACAAACCTCATGTCCCTGCTTGGGAGTGAGCTATAAAAACCTTCAACCACCTTTGCCCTTTCCAGGGGTTTCCTTTCCAGCCAGGATTTGCCTGGGAGATGCCAGCCCACCCTCCACTTGGTGCCACTGCAGCTGGGGCTGGGGCTGTCCCTAAAGCCCACCATCACCTTCTGGATGTGGCTGGGGAAGGGCTCAGTGCTTTGTCCAGCCCCAAAGAGCTGTCGCCCCTGGCTCTGCTCACCTGCTGGCACTGTGCTGGGGAAGGGCTGGCTCTCCCCCTCCTCACGGCCATCGCCTAGCTGTGCCCAGAACCCCTTGATGCCCATGGCACCAGGTGTATACCAATGCTCTGGCACATCAGGATGCCCCAGGCTGGGGGTGCAGCTCAGTTCCCCAAAACAGTGAACCCACTTTTACCTGTAGTGAGTTGCTCCAGCAAGTGCTCACTGCTTAACTGCCCCCCAGGTATTGCTCTTGCTCTTAAATGAGACAGCAGCAGTTCTCTGGGGAAGAAAACATCGCCTTTGACCCCCGTGATTAAGCTCAGTGCCTGGGTTGGCTTCCCGCTGCTGGCTGGTTACGCCAACTGCAGCGGAGTCTGCACCAGCCCTGCTCACTGCTCCAGCGTTTACAGCAGATCAGAGTCCGCACGCAGGGCCCTGCGCTCCCAGTGCTGCCTCCACCAGTCTGAACTGGCCTGTGAAAACCCAACCCTGGGCTAGGAAAGCCTGGAGTTTTGCAGCCTTTGGGTGATGCAAGCTGGCCCTGGGCGCAAGCTCCAAGGAAGGACTGACTTAGGCTGGGAGAACGACGGAGGCAGTCCACAGGAGTGATGTGCTCAGGCTGGGCCGCAGCTCCATGTTGTGGCTACCCCCTCCACCTGGTCCTGGGGAGCCCCCAATGTCCAGGAACACCCCAAGGTGGCTGCAGGGTGAGAGGGACATGGCGCCACTGTGCGTGCAGGGCCCCAGGGGGGAGCCCCCTTTCCTCAGCTGCCTGTGGTCGCTACAGCTGGGCCCTGTGCACCCAGTGGGCACGGGGTGCAATGCACAGCCCAACCTCGCCCAGCCAGCACCCTGCCCTGCACCCCAACCTGGCCCTGCACTCCAGCTGTGCCCAAAGCCCAGCTGGGTCCTGCACTCCAAACCCTCCTGCGCCCTAACCTGGCCATGCAACCCAATCTGTCCTGCACCCTGCCTGGGTCCTGCACCCCAAAGCCCCTGCCTGCTCCCACCTCCCCTGGCACCCCCTTGGGATGCAAACCCTCCGGGATGACCACCTTCCCCGGCCCCACCCCAAGGGTGGCTGCAGCCTACATGGTAGGGAGCAGGGGTGAGTGAGGGGGTGTGAATAGGGTGCAAATAGGGGGCTCGGGGCAGTGCATGGGTGGGGGGTGGGGCAGTTTGTGGGTGCAGGGTGGATGGCCTCAATGCATGGGTGCAGGTGGGGGATGACAGTCAGTGCATGGGTGCTGGGAGTGGGGGCGGTTGGTGCCCAGGGCAAGGATGGGGCTGTGCTCAGTGTGGAGGAGGCTCAAGGGCTGGGGGTGCACGGTGTCCGCGGACCCTGCCAGTCCGGCACAGTCCTGCTCTGTGGTGTCTTGTGAGCCCAGTCCCTGGGCATGGGGGGGACAGGCACCTGCAGCCCCAGCTACGTGGGGCTTGCTGGGGTGCAGCAGCCAAGTCCCAGTGCAAGGCGGGGAGAGCAGCAGTGCAGGTGCATGCCCTGTGCCGTGCCTGCGCAGGCACCCTGCGGCTGCTGGGGCTGAGGAATATGCCCGGGGCCAAGGGACAGGAGCCCCTGGCTGCTGCTGCCTCTCCGGGCTGTACCATGCTGCAGGGCTGTACCCAGCTAGGCACTTGTACCAGGACATTTCGTAACAGAAGCAAGTGCAAAACAAAGTCTTAAGGCATTTCAGTCCCCATTGCTTCGCACAGTGTCTTGGACATGGCACCTCCTGAGACAACTGGGGATGCTCGAGAGGGATGTGCCAGCTTGGGTCCCCATCCTCGTCAGCAGGCAAGGGAGCAGGAGCAGTCGCTCCCTGGGCCCTGAGGAAGCGACGGCTGTGGCCGTTTCCCCGTACCGGTGGCCCATGGCGCGCAGTGCTGCACATCCCAGCATGCCCCGGCACCTTGCACGCTGCGGAAGAGAGCAGCATGCTGGGAGCTGTAGTCTGGCCTTTGCCTCCGGCCTGGCATCGCTCGCCTCTGCAAAGCCCCTCGCCCCGACAGCCGTTGGCCCGCCTGCTCCTCTTGCCCTCGGGTAACTCCGTGGCTCCGCAGAGCCCCAGTCCTGCAGGCACCCCAGGGACACCGGGTCCCCGAGTATTTTGACAGGCACGGAGCCTGTCACAGGGAGGAGTGGGAAGCAGCAGTGCTGGCAGGCGGTGTGGGCTGCTGCCAGCACTCTGCCAGCATCAGTGCAGGCAGGGGACAGCACGTGGCTCGCGCGGAGCACAGGGACGGGATGTCTGAGCAGGAGGAGGGCTGCAGTATCCTGCTCCTCATCCTGATGCAAGCAGGGCAGCTTAAATGTTAATTTGGATGTAAAGGTCTTCCTGTATTAATGGCAGCAAGCGCCAGATAATGTCGGGGAGGCAGCAGTTACATTGCTGGTACATTTGGGGTGCTTATTATGAGCTGGGGTAGGAACTGCTCTGCACAGAGCTTCCCAAAATGCTAGCACCAGCAGAGCTGAACGCATGTGCGGGGATGTATGTGACCAGAGCTGGCTGAGCATCCTCACCTCTGGGCTGCGAGGTGGGGCTGGCATCGTGGAGGGGCCGGCAGCGACCAAGGGTCCCTGTGAGGCCACCCCAGGGACCCAGGTCTTCCTGGGTGGGGCGTGAGGCAGAGACCTGATTGCTCTTTTTCAGATGGAGGGCTCCGAGGAGCTGGAGAGCAGCCTCCTGACACAGCCCTGGGCTTCTGTTTGCTTTGGCGAGTCCGCTTTTCTTGCCAAAGCGTGCTTCACGGATACTGGCTACATCCTGCTGATCTCTGACCTCAGCAGTGTCTGGTACGAGAGTGCAGACGCCGAGGCCGTGGGACAAAGGTCCAAGGTGAGTGTCTGGAAAGTCCAGGGACCTCCTTTTCTCCTCGCAGCAGCTGACATCCCAGCATAAACTGCTTGGTGACACAATGGCTGTTGGATCTGACAGAGCTCGGGTGCAAACGCCCAGCCTGGGGAGTCCCCGGGCGGCTCTGCCCAAGCACTGTCACCCCAGGCTGGCCGAGCACCCTCCTCCTGGGAGAGTGGGTCAGGCTATTTAGCATGCCCAGGGCAGCCAGGTGTTCACTGGGGCTGCGTGCTGAGGCCGGCACACTCGTTTCACTTGTGGGCTGGATGGGCAGCTGATTTCCCCAGGACCAAGGAGGAGCTTGAAACAAGGCTGTCTTCCCACCAGTGACGGAGAGACTCCTGCTCGCGTTCATAGCCAGGCACAGGCTCCCATGGGGTGTCCTGTCAGCATGGCCCCCAAAACACATGGGGCCATGCCTCATCCCCTCACCCTAGCCTGTGTGCCCAGGCCCCCATGTGCCACCCCTGTCTGCCATGTCCCTGTGTCACAGAGTGGTTGTGCTGAGCGGCTGGTGGCAGGAGGGGTGGGCATGCAGTGGCAGCCGTCCCCCAGCTCTGGCTGTTAGCTGAGCTGTGACAGCTCTCGGCCAGCCTGTGACACTGTGGTGGCATGTGGGGCAGATGCGCTACTGGAGGCTATTGCACCCTGCCCACCACCCAGACCCTCCCGGGCTGGCGGGGCAGGAGAGCCTTTCCAGCTCGGCTGGCCTGGGAGAACCAGTGGGGAACGTGGGGCTGGAAGCTGAGGCCGAGGGATGGCTTTTTGCAGCACTGGGACACACAGAAGTAGTTTGGCTCCTTCTATGCTGGAGTTTCTGCTGCTTTTTTCCCAGTGCTGAGCTCCCCGGGGTGTTGCTATGCCCCTAACCTTCTTGCCTTTCCCCAGGAGCTGAACAAGCGGCTGACGGTCCCCGTGTCCTCCTTCCTGCACCGCTTGTGCAACCTGATGTGCCCCTTGCTGGCAGGGCAGCCGGACGCCGCCACCTCCTTCTCCTGCCACCGCGCTGCCGGTGGCCTCAGCCTGCACGTGAAGAGCGAGCTCTCGGGACTGCCCTTCTACTGGGACTTCCACTGCTGCCCCGCGCCCGTGGAGATGGTGAGCAAAGCTGCAGAGAGTTTGGGGAGGGCGACGGCCAAAATTAAGGACTGTCTCCTGATGCTTGGAGGCTTTTGCATGGTCTCAGGCCATGCTGGTGGCTGTAGGGTGCCTGGCTCTGCCTGCTGCCCCTCCCGAGGGGTTCACTGTCCCCGTTTCTTCCCACCGAGGCTTTGGCACCTTGGCTGGTGCCTTGCGGCAAGGCAGGGGTGGCCCAGCGCATGCTGCTACCAGGGCAGCAGGGAGATGTCCAGTTTGGGACGATGCCCTGCGAGCACCCCGCATAGCAGAGCAATGCTCTTCTCCTTTGTGCGCGCCGTGAAGCGGGGTGCAGAGCGGCGGGTACCCCCGAAGGTACCCGAGGGGACGGAGGGAATTAAAGTGGGGTCTCCCCGGCTGTTAAGGAGTTGCTCTTACCACGGGGCTGCCTGACATTCTGGGTTTCGGGAAGCAGCCCCTGGATCCCGCTGTGGCAAGCCGGGCACCCCGGGGCAGCACCTCGGCAGGCAGGAAGGGCGCTGCGGGGCCGGGGCTGCCCGGGCCGCCCCCCGCC